AGGTCTGGTCAAATTTGCATATTGTGTTAGGGGTCAGTGGCTCTTTCATCTGCATATTTAATTACAGTAAGTAGGCCTGGGTAAGGAGTTGGGGGCTATAAAGACTGTAAATTGTTGATTTTGGTAATAGATATTGCTTTTACAGTTCTGTTTTTTTTAATCACCATCATACACTGGAAAAAATAGTGTAGAAACAATTTTCACTCAGAAATTGCAAATAAAATTTCACAGAAAAGCCTAGTAACACATTAAATGAAACTTTTAATCAGTATTGAAGTAGAAAGACTGAAATAGTATTTTTTTGTAAAATGTACTCAAATCTTTGTTTTATTTATAACGTCACAAAATCTAGTGTTCCTTCTAGTTAATTTGCGAACGCTCTTCTAATATCTGAGAATGACGTTTAAGAAGGCTGTTAACTCATTTCTTCACATCTGTATCCTATTGCGGCGTGCATTAGCATAAATTAAATGTGAATACAATTTAATGGGAGATTACTTAAAGTTGACTTTAAGCTCTTTAATTGTTAAACTACATATTAGGAATGTAATAGTTTCTTTGTTTTGATTAAACCTACAAAGATAATGAGAAAAGCAGAGCTGAGATGGGGAAAAAGGACAGTTTTACTGCACTCACCATAGTACTCTTCATAAGTTCTTGGGGATCTGCGACCGCGGCGTTTGAAGAAGTTTGAGGCATCAGATGCTGGCATGAAAACTCGTTTAAATGCTCCTGCTAAAGCAATGGAGTAAGAGATATGAGTGTGTGGGAGTTCGATTTGTAGTGCGTGTGTGTGTGTGTGTGTGTGTGTGTTGAACTCACCTTGAGGTTTACTGTCTTTTACATCTTTAACAGCTGCACTTTCCACCCCAGCCAACACTAAAGAGAAAGAGTTTTCTTTTCACTGTTTTTCTGTCAGGTCTTTAAGAATCATTTTTTAAGATCATAACTTCTAGCTCGTGTGTGTGTGTGTGTGTGTGTGTGTGTGTGTGTGTGTAATTGACTATGTATTTTGAGCATAACACAAGACACCAAAATAACATTTAACTAATCTAACCAATTAGTTTCAATGATTCTGGTGAAGTTAAGTTTATTGTAAAGATTAAATATTTTGGCAATCTTTCCACCCCAGCCAACACTAAAGAGAAAGAGTTTTCTTTTCACAGTTTTTCTGTCAGGTCTTTAAGAATCATTTTTTAAGATCATAACTTCTAACTCGTGTGTGTGTGTGTGTGTGTGTGTGTGTGTGTGTGTGTAATATGGTTCATAGTTATTCTTTGTATAAAGCACATGAAATGAAAGTTAGCTTAGAATACAAAAAAATACCATGATATTACCACAGTTTTTAGACATGGTACCATAGTTGTACCTACCTACTGTATATAGTACATTTTGGACATGTGTCCTAAAATACCCTCGTATATGAGTGTGGTAAGAATTTAGTACCCTGGTATCTTAAATCACAAAATACTCTTTTATTATGGTATGAAGGATTGTGCAGAAACTTTTTGAAGCAGGCTTTCTTTTTTAATCAATATTTACAGTATAAAATTCATTTAAAAAAAAAACATCTAAATGAGTTGTCACGGTCATTTTTTAAAAATTCATTTAATGGGGAAAAATCTATTGATTGGTAATAGGTACTCACCAGTTAGAACGAGGACAGTGGGCAGCAGTGTGAGCAGGACAGTATGAGTCCCAGCCATCCTTCAGAAGATGAGTGTGTCTTATGCAGGTACTAGAACCACAGCAGAAAGTCCTGAGACCTGAGAGATAGTGTGTGTGTGAGAGAGAGAGAAAGAGAGAGAGAGAGAAGGAAAGGGGGAGCTGGAATTTCACTGGCCCAGGGGAATGCAGGAGGGGCGAGAGAGGGAGACACGGACCCCAGCGCACACCCACTGATCAGACCATCTGTCTGTGCACAACAGCCTCTATCATCACTCAATGTTACTGTTCAAACTTTTCGATCTGGCAGGTTTACAGATTAGCATCAGGTTTCCATTCCAATGAAACAAATGAACAGCAGATCAAGTGTGTGATGGATTTCTCAAGCAGCTACTCATCAGGATTAATTAAATATCAGCACTTTCACCTGTCAGCAAAATAATACTCTGTGCATTCCCTGGAGATCGATCGATCGATCTCTATCTATCTATCTATCTATCTATCTATCTATGTCTATCTGTCTGTCTGTCTGTCTGTCAGAAAAATTGTCAGTTTATAGATATAGCATTGTTGAACAGAGATGATATTTGTAGATTATTAGATAGATAGACAGACAGACAGATAGATATATATCTGTCTGTCTGCCTGTCTGTGGAATCAGTGGACACTTTGCTATCCCATGAGGCTGATGGTGCAGAGGGGCCATCAGATTTAAAGAAAAGTTGCTCCTTTTTGTAAAATTGAATTTAGCGCCAAAGTGAACTTTTTTCACTTTTTTATCGGTCAAAAAAAAACATCCGGGCCAAAGGTAACTGTCATATGTTGGATATAGTATTTATACTACATGTCTGCATACCTTAACAACATACTTTAACAACAACTGAGAGGCCCACCTGGAGCCAGGCTTGGATATTTATATTATACTACACAAGAATGATCAGTTAGTCTCCAGCTAGTCTGTATCTACCGTGAAACGGACAGAAAGAGAGAGAATTAGAGTAACAACTAGCAGACAGAATGTCAGGAAATTAGAAACAGACATGCTGAGAGTGAAGTTAAAAGCTATATGTCACTCCTTAGATTGGCTCCTGTTTTGTTTCTCAACGCTTATCAAAGTATATCAATGTCTATGAGAAAAACCTGCATATGATTTGCCCTTTCTGGGTTGGTTTGACTATAGGGTGTGCATGTGCATTTATGAGCCGTTTTTCCATGCTGTGTAAATGGATTCCTGGATGTTTGGATACCATCCAGGTATTTTCTTCGGTTCCAAGTCTCCATAAGGCAGACACCCCAGGAAACAGTAGCGACCCCAACCATTCTCCATAACACACACACACAGACAGACAGCATGTGAAATACTATTCCAGGCATAAGATGACTTTTTCACAAAGGTTCCTCCATTAAAAACAGTCTCTCCTCTCTTGAGAATCTTTTCCAAGAAGACACCCATTAAGTGTAAAAGTGGGTTCCCTCTCAAAGGAATTGTTCACCCAAACACTAAATCTTTTACAAATCCCTACTTACTGTCCTCTAAAGAGGATGGAAACCTGCAGTAACACTCAGATCTCATTTGCTCTCATGTATATTCAAATGTGGTTTGTTTTGGGCCACTTGTATCATATGGACCAATTTTATGATGCTTTTATTGGTTCATATTTCAAGCTTGACAGGCCATTCCTTTGTACTGTATGGAAAAGAACAGCATGAAAATTCTGCTAAACATCTTCATATAGGTTTGGAACAACATGAGGGTTAATCATTTTTGGGTGAACTATCCCTTTAAGCTCAATCTAGTTAATTAGCCAGGGCCATTTCTCAACTGTGAACAATGCTGAACCAAACTCACCACTTCATCTTACTGTTTGTTTCTGTGGAAGTTGTTGATAGGGTGTGGTATGAATTGGTCTGAGGGAGTTTGTACCATGGACCACTTTAAATAGCCTAAATAGCCACTTTCATTCAGCGCACTTACCTTTTCTGCTAAAAGCAATTTGATTTCAATGGAGACTGCCGTCTGGGCACGTATGGTATTTATTATATGCCCGTATGCAGAGAGAGAAACAAACAAGCATTCATGCCTGCTCTTAAAATGCCCACTTCTTCTGCTTTTAATCAGTATGATCAAAGATTTGGAATGCAGTTAGCTGGTAAATATATAAATAGATTGTGTATTTCACATCTGCTAAATCGAGGTTGGAAAACCACTAGTGCCTAATCCAAGAGAAGGCCGCTCATGTACTCACATACATTTTGCGCAAACGAGCAAAAAAATTTACCCGAGAGCATTGGAAAAGTTTGTCTGCTCGCGTTAACGAAGCTTCTCGTGTACACACGAAAATATTCTCATCTGTAAAGCATGGTGGAGTTGGTGTCATGGCGTGTGCATGCATGGCTGTCTCTGGAACAGGCGTTCAACTTTACTGACGACTTACAGCATTATGGCAGCAGCAGAATGAATGCAGAAGTGTACAGAATCATCTTGGCTAGGCTATCAATATTCAAGCGCTTCATATTGGATCAGGACAATGACCCAAAACACCCTGCCAGTTCAGTCAAGGAGTTTATCAGGGCAAAGAAATAGAAGGTCTAAGATTGCCCAAGTCAATCTCCAGATTTAAATCCGACTGAACATGAATTTCACCAGCTGAAGAGGAGACTAAAGGCAGAAACTCCCCAAAACAAGCAACAGTTGGAATTGGCTGCATTAAAGGCTGGGAAAAGCATTTTAAAGGATAAGACCAAGAGTTTGGTGATGTCTATGGGTCGCAGACTCACTGCTCTGATTTCATGCAAGGGATCTGCAACTAAATATTAGCTTTTAATCTTTTTCATCTGCCTTAAGTTCAACTGTCCCAATACTTACAGGTGCATCTCAATAAATTAGAATGTCGTGGAAAAGTTCATTTATTTCAGTAATTCAACTCAAATTGTGAAACTCGTGTATTAAATAAATTCAATGCACACAGACTGAAGTAGTTTAAGTCTTTGGTTCTTTTAATTGTGATGATTTTGGCTCACATTTAACAAAAACCCACCAATTAACTATCTCAACAAATTAGAATACTTATTAAGACCAATAAAAAAAACATTTTTAGCCTTCTGTTCCACGACATTCTAATTTATTGAGATGCACCTGTATGCTCACATCAGATAGTGGGCATAACTCTAAAAGTGCTGTCCTTTTAATGTTGCTCAGAGAGCAAATTGGAATTATATTTGTTTTGGCGAAATAGAGCAAAAACAGTCAATATTGTTTCTAAAACTTAAGTATCTTAATATTAAATTCTTGTTTATTGAACTGCTGTATAAAATCAATATCACATTTGTAATCATGCTGCTTTTTGGTGGAAAAAACGTCAGTCTTTGCATGATACTGATTAACTATATGAAATTATATAAATATAAATTTCTGCCCCCATATATTGAATTTTGTGATCATTCTAAATACATTTTAATAAACTGAATCATGCAGTGAACTGAATCATGTAGCTCTCGTGAGTCATGGATGTTAGCAAGACAAATTAACTATAATTGCCTTTTGTCTTTTGGGTAATTGGGTAATTAGCTGTAAATTCGAGGCACAGGTAGCTTTTAGTCTTTTGTTCATCACAACTCACCTCCACACCAAGACAAACACAACTGGAAAGGGAGGGAGGGCTTCACTTCTGCGGCTCTCTG